TTAATTAGAAGCAAATATGATGTGCAAAAGTCTTGTTAATTTTGTAGTTATTATGGGCAAAGCCTTACTTTTCAAACCCCAAGGTGCCCGATTTCTAAGTTACGGTTAGCGTCTACATTTTTTTTAGGAATTGCATCCCACAATACCTTTAAGTTCACGAAAGTAATGCTCTAAGTCACGCGTTTATTTGTGTCTAGGGTGCCACAGTTCCTTTAAACAGCTTTCTCTATTAAAACTCGCTTAATCTTTTCACAGTATTTAACCGAACTTCTCGTAACATTTTTACTGAAATGACCACTTAAAAGACATGTAGAAAATCATGTATTGTTTGTCACTTGAAGAACCAAAAAAATATGTTTAATATTCGTAAACTTTTGCTCGCTCACCGTTGGTGACGTAATTGTTCCACCGATCTTTTTGTAAATATGGCCAAAACTAATTTCTGTTGACTGGAATCTCAATTAAACAAAGATATCTATTTATATCCATTACCCAAAAATAAATGAGCTAGACCACCGCATTCGTTAGAAAAAAAGGTATTTCAACACAGGGAAATATGTTCCCTTTGATGTAAGTTTTGATTAAGTTCACTCTTGAATTAGTCTGACCTCTCCCCGATGTGGGTTATCAAAACAAAGGCTTTTACAAGAGCAAGCGCCGGATATGTGTTAACCTAAACAGTGGACGGTATAGGTTAACACATGCAACCCTTTCAATTAGACCACTAAATGATAATTAGCAAAATCAAACATTTGTATCCTAAGCGGAAAACTTTATATTCACTTGCAACATGACAGATCCAAAAGACTTTCTACCCTGTTCTCATCATTTCACAGGTCTCGCTAGACGGGTTAAGTCGCGCGTGAAACACTGCTATTTACTTTCATTCGAGTCAGCATTTTTTTTTTTCTTTGCGAACTTAGCAAAATCTGATGCAATACAGGAAGTCAACTACTTTATCAAGTTGCGACAACTATTTTGTCTCAAGGTTTCCTGTAGGCATTTAGTTGGTGAAGAATAACAGAAATGGCTGGTTTATAATAATAATTATCGAAAAAACTATGGGTCAAGGGCCACAAAGTGTTGATTTGCTTTTTAAGCAAGGTTTTCGACATGTTCAGTGGCGTGAAAAAAGCGGCGTCATTGGGTCGCAACGATGAATTCGCCGCTGTGTAAGCACATTCCTTGAAAAAAATAGGCTGGCAGGGAATAACTAGGTTCCAACAATAAGAGAGACAGGCAGACCTCTCAGATAGGAAGAAAAGGCGTCGATTTGTCATAGATCGCGGAAATAACATGATCACGAGTATAGAGTTGTATCTGAAGGATTATACGGAAACTTGTTTCCCTTTAAAAACTGCATGCCACTTACCACCCAAGATCTTATCAAGACAGCAGGTTATGAAATATGCTTCGACCTCGCATAGCATCCGTTGCTCAGTGAGAAAAAATACGGCAATAGATGCTTTTTACATGGGTTGCTTGTGTCAGATAACATGAAGAATTCATGGTAGTCAGATGTGAAAAATGACCACGTGCTTCTCGCTGAAGTCAAGCCCTATATTCGCTGGGGTTCTAATACTTGGGTGACCGCACATAATATCCCGTGTTATTGACTTTAATTTTTTCTAGGGTTTTTATTTTTCGATTTCATTCCTATACTTTGAACAGCCAGCATTGATATCATTATTTTCAAAGTTAAACCTCAGTGACTGTAGATTATGACCAACGTATCCCACGTTAACGCCTCGGGGCGTCTTGTTTGAAAAGAAAAGGGTCTTGACTCAAGTAAAGACAGCTTTAATCACCTATGTGGCCAAATAATTATGAGGCTCTCGGGTTTGCCTTCATCTCCTCATTACGCCAGAAATTACTCTCTGGAAGCTCTAGATTGTATCAGTTTAGCGGATTGGTTGCAGCCAGGACGCGACGTGATTTAATTTCTTTCTACCTGTTACCTCTATCTCTTCGTGCGGCTTTCTTTCTTCTGAATAGAGCAAAGATCGAGAATTCTTGACAGAAAAGGAAAGGTTTAGGGACTGTATTGATCAGCTCTAGTATTTAGGCCTATTCTTTTCGATTGGATGCAGCAAATGCTTAAACTGTGTCTTCACTAAGTTGCATTGTGTTCGGCCCTGTGCCTAATATTTTTTAGACTGATTGATAACCTATGAACTGTCTATTTATTTATTTATTTTGTTATTTCATGATTATTTACCAATTTATTAAGCTTAGATACTGAGGCACCGAAAAGAACGACGCAGAACTTTTCCGCCTTTTTCTTCCTTTATTTGTTGTTAGGTTTGTTACTCACAAAAGAAATCGAGATAGTTTAAACACTAAAAAAAAAAGCAACAACAACAACAATAAAAAAGCAACTGCAGCAAAAAACAAAAATTATCTTCAACAAAAAATTGCTCAAATGTCACAAACTTAGACTAGAGGGTTCCCCTGGCTAACATTCCTTTAACTTACAGAGCCCCACAGCCTATAACTGTCTACCTGGCTACTACCATGACGATAAAGGATGTACCAAATGCTCACAATGCCCCGTGGGATATGGTTTAAAAAATCCTTGCTCGAAAACAGAGGATACTCAATGCCAGCCCTGCATCGAAGGGTATGATTATTCAGATACCAATGGATTCGACGAGTGTATAGTGTAAGTTTCCAAACTAAATCTCATTTTGTTTGACCGTAAGACACTTTGTGTATTCTTAATCATCCATTTTATTGTTAAAATTGATAAAAATTCGTATTGGTAATAACATGAAAAAACATCTCAGAAGTAAAGTTACAACTTTGCACTGGTGTTACATGAGAATGCACTCGTTTTCAGCCGATTAGAAGCGCGTATTTCTTCATATACATTATTACTCGATTTATTCATCCATTTACGTATTATGGATTTGTTCACTTCCTTATTTAGCATTATCAATCTCTTCACCTCTTCAATATAATTCTATTGACTATCCTTTCTTTGAGACATTTATCAAGTGGCGTGAGACACGTACAACGTGACCATACAAGTTGGAATGAGAGATACTGCACACGGCTTTTCCTCTTCCAAAGAGGGAGACGTAAACAGGCAACTCCATTCGCACCGGTTTTTTGTTTGTTTGTATGTTTGTTTTTTTGCCATCAGCTTAACAACATTCATTTGACATATTAGCACCTTGTTTGTTTTATTTTGAACAATTATTTCTCTTCCTTCGGGAAGAAAAAAAATAAAAGTGCGTTTTCTTTCCTTTCTTGTAAGGTGTGACACTTATTCAAACTGTCTTCCTGGAAAACCCAAATTGATAAAGAAGTGTACAGTATCCTCCCCACCCGAATGCAATGGATGTGAGGATGGATACTATAGCGAGGTCAATGGCTGTGCGGAGTGCTCGTCTCCTTGTCGCACCGACGAGGAAGAAGTGCAAAAATGCCTGACGGAGCATGATCGCATTTGCAAACCGAGAGGTATAGATGCAGTGCCAATAGCTTCGTCAAGTCCCACAACTTCAACTTCAAGTACGTGTGGTAATCTTGCTTTGAAGTAATGTCGACTTTTCTTCTAACTAGGAACACTAAGAGCGAGAATCAAATATTCCCGAAACTTTTTGGTCCAGTTCACAAAATTTGCCACATATGTCTACCAGGCGCACGCCGCTGTATGCGATCAACCTGTGGCTAGCTTGACGCGTGGAAGTTTGTGTAATTTGAAGACAAAAGCAGATCATAGTAAATTAAAAAAGAAGTAGAACCATAGAATCATATTCTTAGAGACTCTTAGGTAATGCTTTGAACTCGGCTAATCCTAACTTTTTATTACCTCATCAATTGATTAGTATAAAAAGGTTAAAAAATTGGATTTACGACTCCCAATCGGCGCGCGCCTCGAGAATACACCTGAATACGTCATTGTCTTTTTATTTCAGGAATCAACTCGATGGAGGTGATATCGATGAGCACGAAACGGCATACTGTTGTTCCGAAGACTGAAACCGAAAGGGTCAACACGGACGAGGTGCCGATGGCTGAAAGGTCGTCTCAGGCACAGGGAACCCGGAACAAATACCTGAAGATTTTTATCCCTGTGGGAGTTATCATCGTAGTAGCAATCATTTTAATTTGTGCCTGTCGCAAAATGCGCAAAGCAAGAAGGCGAAAAGCTAATGATCAAGACCTTCTGCCATTTTTGCGAAAAGGTAAGAGTGTGATATCAAACACGTACTCTGCTGATTAGATACATGTATTTGCACTCCAGTTTAAGGATACTTTTAGCCTAGTAACATTTCGACCTGGGATTGGTCGCTTCACTAAAAGTTAAGGTCCCTTCATAGATATAACCATAAGTAAATTCTCCCCAACTCAGATTAGTCGTTTCGCCCTAAGACTAAAAAAGTAATGTTTTCCAGGTGTTCTCCTGTTCTTAATATCTCTATCACTTTCATCTCGTAAAATTACTGAAAATTCTTAAAGGTGTAAAGCAATATGTTGCCTATACTTTTCAAGGGCCAAAGTACCCCGTTCAACTGATCTCTTGTATTGTATCTAAAATCATAGAATATTAATACGTGGTGTTAACACAATGAAGTGAATTCTGAAAACTGCTACGACATAATATTCCAAGTGAAAATCAAAAGAATAGCAACAATATTGAATCAGTAAATAATGCAGAAAGTATGTCATAGCCATTATCGCGAGCACTATGAAGCGAAATCTTCACCTACAAGTCATTTCTAAGCTGCTTCCTTCCCCTAGAAATGATTTTTTCGTAAAAATCATAAAACATTACTATTTTGTTACTTAAGGATTGGATCGTTTCTTGAGACAACTCTCCATCGATGACAAAAAAATGATATCCAGAGAAATCAGTAACTCACGCCAAGGTAAGTAAATGTCTATCCTTCCCCTTAACTGTTTTCAACTAGAGAAGACATTGATTCGATTTTCTCTAACACGAAAAAAATCTGAGCTTAACAAAAACAATTATTTGAGAAACAAGGCTTGAAGTGCATTGAAAAAAAGATGAATATATTGACTATCGATTAATTAGACCGGCAGATTGATGGATGATTGGATTGACTGACTGATTACCCAGGCACCTTTTATCAATCAATCCGTAGATCATTCAGCAATTGCGTGATATGTTAACGAGATTTGTTGCCTTAGCGACAGGGCGAACTTACCGCTGACATTATAACCTCGCGAGCGCACTTTTTAACCTTTTGAAGTTTGAAACCCTCATGCTCTTGTCAAGCGTGCGAGTAAACGGAGAAAATTACATTGAAGTTTTGTTGTGTTTAATGAATTGGAATTCGACTGTTATTTTCATTGGGTAGCACGTAGCAGATTAGTTTTAAATGACTATGAGATAAATATTGCTTGGATTGTCGAAGTCATAAGCTGCAACCGAAGAATCAATCAATGAAAATAAATTGCTGAGAACTAGATCATAAGCGTCGAGGTTGTAGGTGAAATGGAAAGAAAACGGAACAATTGGAACAATGATTCTTCTGACAACGATACCATCGAGTTTATGACTTTGACCCCGTTCCTGGAGTAAACCAGCTTTGATTGATTAATGGGGTTATTTTTTTCTCTGTTTCGTTAGAGCTGTGAGACCTTTTACGGTGGCCAATTTACATTTATTTATCAAATCAGTTGATAAAACCAAAAGTATCTTGTTTAACTCTCTTACCGACGCAGCACTTTAGGAACTTACCCTTTTAATTCGTTGCTTGATTGTTTGAAAATTATATATCCTTTGTATTTAAGGGTATGCTGACTGGCGTGCTGTCTTGGATAAATTGAATGACCCCGGTTTGCTTGAGGAATCTAGGGGATGGAATGCAAGAGACGAAGAAATAAATATCAATAAATTTCTAGCAGCATATGGTGAGAAGGAGGGTAGCACGGTTGCGGGATTGATTCAGGCCATCAGAGATGCTGGACTGGAGCTTTCTGCTGAGAAATTGAAAAAAAAACTTGGTTCAGATGGAGATGGATCAAGTGGTAATACTGATCAGTGAGATAGAGGAAATTGAAGAGGATGCTCGCGTATAAAAGGTTACTTTTCAACTAACAAATAGATGTTTCCATATGATTGTTCACAGAAATTTACCAACAAAGATTTTTAGGTAGTTCATAAGCACTCGTATCCTTGGTATTTCTAATTAATCGCCCTGATGTAGTAAGCCTAGTGTCCGTACAGTTGTCTCCCTTCCAGAGTTAATTACACATGAATTAGAGTCTGCTTGTTAATTAGACAAAACTGAGCTAAGTATCAGCACACTACTATCAGTCGTCTAATAGTTTTAAACCCAAAACAAAACCATTCATAATGACTGCTTCGGTTCCATACATGAAGGTCGCCAATTTGGTCTTAAAATTCGTTATCCTGTAGTATTTCTTCTCGCCAGGGTGATAGAACTAAAAAAAAATTAACATAACAAAAAATGAAAAAAAAACTGCTATTCTACTTAAGTAACCTTAGTTTGTTTTGTATTCACTAGCTAAGTGACTTGTTGCATGCACCCAAGGTGCATTTGGAGCCATAGCTTTTCCTTTTCCTTTTTTCCTAGAATTTCTGTCTTTGTTTACAATGTAGTAATAGTCAGTGTTGCTTAATTGAAGTAAGGTCTCAAGGTTCTGCTCTCACTTCAATTTTTGACCCTCAATTTTTATCTCATTTTTGACTCCCTCCTTTTTTAATTAATCCTTAGAAGAACAGCTAAAATGGAAGCATGTACATAAGGGATCAATATCAGTATCTGGACAACTGCCAACTTACCCCTCCCCTAAC